CCCAATTATAACGATATTATATTGCGATTGAATGGACTAGAAATATATATTCTATTCTAATTGATGAATATATAATATGATAAGATTGTCAATATAATATGATAAATATATATTATAATCTGATAAATATATATATGAGAATACGATAAAATGAGACCAAAAAGACCATTATTAGAATGACGATTAATAAGACAATAGGAGTGGATGGCGTGAGATTCAGAAGAATAGAAGGGATTATTATGAATTAATGATTATTAATCTAATAATAAGAATAAGATTAATAATAATAAGATTAATAACCTTGCAAGTGGATGGTGGCCTGATGCGAACGGTCGCATTATATAAGAGGGGATGGCGTGAGATTCAGGAGAATAGAAGGGATTAGTATTCATTAATTATTATTAATATAATAATAAGAATAAGAATAAGAATAAGAATAAGAATAATAATGATTAATAACCTTGCAAGTGGATGATGGCCTGATGCGAACGGTCGCATTATATAAGAGGGGATGGCGTGAGATTCAGGAGAATAGAAGGAATTAGTATTAATTAATCATTATTAATCTAATAATGATAATAATATTAAGAATAAGAATAAGAACAAGATTAATAATAATAAGATTAATCACCTTGCAAGTGGATGATGGCCTGATGCGAACGGTCGCATTATATAAGAGGGGATGGCGTGAGATTCAGAAGAATAGAAGGGATTATTATGAATTAATTATTATTAATCGAATAATAATAATAATAATAAGATTAATAAGATTAATCACCTTGCAAGTGGATGATGGCCTGATGCGAACGGTCGCATTATATAAGAGGGGATGGCGTGAGATTCAGGAGAATAGAAGGAATTATTATGAATTAATTATTATTAATCTAATAATAATAATAATAATAATAATAATAATAATAATAATAATAAGATTAATAACCTTGCAAGTGGATGATGGCCTGAAGGCCGTCAATCTGCTCCCGGAGGTCCCTCCTCCTTGCGTAGCGCATGGCGGACGAGTGAGGGGCGTCCCCAAGGGGGCGGGGCCAGGGGAGCCCCGCCCACGGGCTGCCCTGTGAGGTCACAAGAGGCGGTTGTGACGTCACAGGGTTCCCTCCCTGGGGATTCTAGGCTAGGGAATCCAAGAATGATTGACAGGGGAGGCGGGGCCAGGGTCAGATAGTCCCACCCACTGAATCGCAGAATGATTGACAGGGGAGGCAGAACCATGTCCGCTGAATGATTGACAGGAAAGGAGGGTCCAGAATGATTGACAGGGAAGGCGGGGCCAGGGTCCTCTAGTCCCACCCACTGAATCCCAGAATGATTGACAGGGAAGGCGGGGCCAGGGTCCGCTGAATGATTGACAGGGAAGGCGGAGCCAGGGTCAGCTCGTCCCACCCACTGAATGATTGACAGGGAAGGAATGATTGACAGGGAAGGCGGAGCCAGGGTCATCTAGTCCCACCACTGAATGATTGACAGGGAAGGCGGAGCCACGCTCCGCAGAGTAATTGACAGGGAAGGAATGATTGACAGGAAAGGAGGGTCCAGAATGATTGACAGGGAAGGCGGGGCCAGGGTCCTCTAGTCCCACCCACTGAATCCCAGAATGATTGACAGGGAAGGCGAGGCCAGGGTCCTCTAGTCCCACCCACTGAATCCCAGAATGATTGACAGGGAAGGCGGGGCCAGGGTCCTCTAGTCCCACCCACTGAATCCCAGAATGATTGACAGGGAAGGCGGGGCCAGGGTCTGCTGAATGATTGACAGGGAAGGCGGAGCCAGGGTCCGCTGAATGATTGACAGGGAAGGCGGAGCCAGGGTCCTCTAGTCCCACCCACTGAATCCCAGAATGATTGACAGGGAAGGCGGAGCCAGGGTCCGCTGAATGATTGACAGGGAAGGCGGAGCCAGAGTCCTCTAGTCCCACCCACCGAATGATAGACAGGGAAGGCGGGGCCAGGGTCTGCTGAATGATTGACAGGGAAGGCGGAGCCAGGGTCCTCTAGTCCCACCCACTGAATGATTGACAGGGGAGGCGGAGCCAGGGTCATCTAGTCCCACCCACTGAATGATTGACAGGGAAGGCGGGAGCAGGGTCCTCTAGTCCCACCCACTGAATCCCAGAATGATTGACAGGGAAGGCGGAGCCAGGTCCGCTGAATGATTGACAGGGAAGGCGGGACCAGGGTCCGCTGAATGATTGACAGGGAAGGCGGAGCCAGGGTCCTCTAGTCCCACCCACTGAATGATTTACAGGGAAGGCGGAGGCAGGGTCCGCTGAATGATTGACAGGGAAGGAGGGTCCAGAATGATTGACAAGGAAGGCGGAGCCAGGGTCAGCTTGTCCCACCCACTGAATGATTGACAGGGAAGGCGGGGCCAGGGTCATCTAGTCCAACCCACTGAATGATTGACAGGGAAGGAGGGTCCAGAATGATTGACAGGGAAGGCGGGACCAGGGTCTGCTGAATGATTGACAAGGAAGGCGGGGCCAGGGTCATCTAGTCCAACCCACTGAATGATTGACAGGGAAGGTGGAGCCAGGTCCGCTGAATGATTGACAGGGAAGGCGGAGCCAAGCTCCACGGAGTAATTGACAGGGAAGGAATGATTGACAGCAAAGGAGGGTGCAGAATGATTGACAGGGAAGGCGGGGCCAGGGTCATCTAGTCCCACCCACTGAATGATTGACAGCGAAGGAATGATTGACAGGGAAGGCGGAGCCAGGTTCCGCTGAATGATTGACAGGGAAGGCGGGACCAGGGTCTGCTGAATGATTGACAGGGAAGGCGGAGCCAGGTCCGCTGAATGATTGACAGGGAAGGCGGAACCAGGGTCCTCTAGTCCCACCCACTGAATGATTGACAGGGAAGGCGGAGCCAGGGTCCGCTGAATGATTGACAGGGAAGGCGGAGCCAGGTTTTGCTGAATGATTGACAGGGAAGGCGAGACCAGGGCCTGCTAAATGATTGACAGGGAAGGCGGAGCCAGGGTCAGATAGTCCCACCCACTGAATCCCAGAATGATTGACAGGGGTCGTTGAATGATTGACAGGGAAGGCGGGTCCAGAATGATTAAAATCCTAGGCAGTCTTTTTTTAAATAGCTAAAGCGTCACTCTCAGGCAACTGATAATAATAATAATAATAATAATAATAATAATAATAATAATAATAATTGAAGTTATAGACAATCTTATTTTAAATGGCTAAAACGTAGCTCTCAGGCAACTAATAATAATAATAATAATAATAATATCAATTAAAATCCCAGGCAATCTTTTTTTAAATGAATAAATCGTGGCTTTTGGGTCAACTAATGATAATAATAATAATAATAATAACAACAACAACAACATGAATTAAAGTCCTAGGCAATCTTATTTTTAAATGATTAAAGCAACTAATAATAATAATCATAATAATATCAATTAAAGTTCTAGGCAATTGTTTTTTAATGGCTAAATCGTGCTCTCGGTGCAACTAATAATTATAATAATAATAATATCAATTAAAATTCTAGGCAATTTTTTTTTTAATGGCTAAATCGTGCTCTCGGTGCAACTAATACTAATAATAATAATAATATCAATTAAAATCTTAGGCACTCTTTTTTAAATGACTAAATCGTCGCTCTCTGGGCAACTAATAATAATAATAATAATATCAATTAAACTCTCAGGCAGTCTTTTTTTAAACGACTAAAGCAACTTATAATAATAATAATAATAATAATAATAATATCAATTAAACTCTCAGGCAGTCTTTTTTTAAACGACTAAAGCAACATATAATAATAATAATAATAATAATAATAATAATGTCAATTAAAATCCTAGTCAATCTTTTTTAAACGATTAAAGTGTCGCTCTCAGGCAACTAATAATATTAATAATAATAATAACGGAGGATCTCTAAACCGGGGACTGCAAAACCTTGCCCAAACTTATTTTATTTTAACTTATTTTATTTTATTTTAACTTATTTTATTTTATTTTATTTTAACTTATTTTATTTTATTTTAACTTATTTTATTTCATTTTAACTTATTTTATTTCATTTTAACTTATTTTATTTCATTTTAACTTATTTTATTTCATTTTAACTTATTTTATTTTATTTTATTAACTTATTTTATTTTATTTTAACTTATTTTATTTTATTTTGCAAGTTTTAGGGTGACTTTGGGCCATTTTGCAAACTTTGCTCCGGTTTTGGTGTATTTTGCAAGTTTTTCCCCAATTCTCTGTTTGTTTCTGTCAATAATTGACAGCCGGCAGCCAATGATTGACAGTCTGCAAGCAGAAGCAGCTGCGTTGGAAAGAAGAAAAAATTAAGGTGCATTTAATAGAAATTTAAGTTGCAATTGGCCTTAAAAACTTCCTATAAAGCCCTGGAAAATAAATTGAATTTAATCCGATTTTAACAGGAAAATAACTGGCATGAATAGACTGACAGTCGTCTATTAAATATTAAATGCCTCTCCACTGTTTGCTCTGCTAAATAATGAACTCATTATTATTATTATTATTATTACTATTATTATTATTATTATTAGCTCTTTTGATCGCCCAACCCTTCCACCCCATCCAAACTCCCATCAATAATAATACTAATAATAATGGGCTATGGCTAATAATAATAATAATCTCTTTTGATTGCCCTACCCTTCCCCCATCCAAACTCCCATCAATAATAGTAATAATACCGCTAATAATACCGCTAATAATACTAATAATAATACTAATAAAACTAATAATAATAATAATAATGGGTAATGGGAAATAATACTAATACTAATAATAATAATACTAATAATGGGTTATGTCAATAATAATAATAATAATATTCATGGAAAAAGTAATAATGGGAATTCTACTCCCCAAAACCAGCCAGAAACCCAAATCTTTTCCCTTTCCTTAATTCCCCCTGCTATCGATTATGTGTTAATTAATGACCCCGGCCGATAACGAAGGTTGCTCATTAACCGAGGGCCCAGCCAGGGCCAAAGTCCTCTCCCTTCGGACTCCAAAATCCGCGTTTTTCCACCCAAATCGGACGTCTCTTTTTCTCTCTCTTTCTGGGGGAAAATGGATCAATTTATTATTTTCGCCTTTTCGGCGCTGGTTCTGGGTTCGAATCTCGGACGAATAGAAGGGCAGGAAGCTGTGGAAGTGGAGAGGGTGATAATAATCATCATAATTAATAAGTATTAATAAGGATTAATAAGGATTAATAATGATTAATAAGTGTTAATAAGGATTAATAGGATGAATAAGGATTAATAATAATTAATGTTATATGATAATAGATCGGATTTTATTTGCATCAGCCTCTAATAATAATAAAAATACTGCTAAGAATGATAGCATTAGCCGGCTAATGATGATAATAATAAGGATTAATAAGGATTAATGATAGATGATAATAGATCAGATTTTATTTGCATCAGCCTCTAATAATATATAAAAATAATGCTAAGAATTTTAATAATCAGCCGGCTAATAATGATAATAATAATAAGGATTAATAAGGATTAATGATCTATGATAATAGATCTAATAATAATAAAAATACTGCTAAGAATGATAGCATCAGCCGGCTAATAATGATAATAATGATGATTAATAAGGATTAATAAGGATTAATGATAGATGATAATAGATCGGATTTTATTTGCATCAGCCTCAAGCATTAAAATCAAATGAAATGCAGCGGAAATAATAATAAAAATAATGATAAGAATGCTAATAATAAGCCGGCTAATAATGATTAATAATGATTAATGATCTATGATAATCGATCGGATTTTATTTGCATCAGCCTCTAGCATTAAAATCAAATCAAATTCACCGGAAATAATAATAAAAATAATGCGAAGAATGATAAGAATCAGCCGGCTCATAATGAGAATAATGATGATGATTAATGGTTAATAATGATTAATAAATAATAAGAATAATATCAGAAGAAGCTAGACCAAGCAGAGGGGTGGGGGGGGGCTGGGCAACGGCTAATAATGCTAAGAATGCTAATAATCAGCTGGCTAATAATAATAATAATAATAATAATAATAATAATAATAAACTAATTAATTAATATCAGAAGCCAGCCCAAGCAGAGGGTGAGGGTTTGTGGGGCTGGGGAACTGCCTGAGACTTGAAGGGGTGGATGGGAGGGGTGCGAAAGGGCTGGCTAATAATGATATTCATGATAATTAACAATAATTAATAGTAGTAATAATAGTAGTATTAATAATAATAATACTGTAGTATTAATAATAATAATAGTAATCAGAAGAATCTTGATCTGTGGGACTCCCTGAGACTTGAAGGGGTGGAAGGTGGGTGCGGGGCAGAAGGAAGGGCTGGCTAATATTAATATTCATGTTCTTAATATTAATAGTATTAATAATAATATTAATAGTATTAATAATAAAAGATCAGAAGAATCTTGATCTGTGGAACTGCCCGTCACTTGATGGGCAGGAGGTGGAGGGGAGCGGGGGGGAAAGGAAGGGCTGGCTAATAATAATAATAATGATGATGGTGATGATGATAATAATAGTAATAATAATAATAATAATAATAATAATAATAATAATAAATAATACTAGATCAGAAGGCTCTCTCTTTCTCTCAGAAGGAAAGGAACCGGGAGGGGAGGGGAGGGGGACAAAAGCAAGGGCTGGCTAATAATAATATTAATGACAATTAATGATTATTAATGATTATTAATGATAATTAATGATAGATTATGATAGATCAGATTTTTGGGGGATCAGCCTCTAGCCCTAATTCTAATATATTTTAGTGTTTTGTGGCCAGATGGGCAGGGTACAAATAAATCACTATTGTTGTTGTTGTTGTTGTTATTATTATTATTATTATTATTATTATTATTATTATTATTATTAGAGAGCCGGCCAGCTACTTTTTGTGACTACAATGGGATTTTTCTTACTATTTCCGGAACAATCTTCTCCCCCCCCCCATTAATAATATAGAAATGGGAGCGGGGCCATTATTATTATTATTATTATTATTTATTATTATTATTATTATTATTATTACTATTATTACTATTACTATTATTATTATTATATGCAAGGACTGGTTGTTGTTGTTATTATTATTATTATTATTATTATTATTATTATTATTATTGGATTTTCCTTACTACTTCCGGAATAATCTTCCTTCCCCCTCTATTAATAATATAGAAATGGGAGCGGGGCCATTATTATTATTATTACTATTATTATTATTATTATTATTATTATTATTATTATTATATGCAAGGACTGGCTATTATTATTATTAATAATAATAATAATAATATGGGATTTTTCTTACTATTTCCGGGAAATAATCTTCTCCCCCCCTATTAATAATATAGCAATGGGAGCGGGGCCATTATTATTATTATTATTATTACTATTATTATTATTATTATTATTATTATTATTATTATTGGATTTTCCTTACTATTTCCGGAATAATCTCCCTTCCCCCCCTATTAATAATATAGCAATGGGAGCGGGGCCATTATTATTATTATTATTATTATTATTATTATTATTATTATTATTATTGGATTTTCCTTACTATTTCCGGAATAATCTCCCTTCCCCCCCTATTAATAATATAGCAATGGGAGCGGGGCCATTATTATTATTATTATTATTATTATTATTATTATTATTATTATTATTATTATTATTATTTCCGTGATTCCAGCTCTACGGCCAATGGCACGAAGTGGCCCTGGGTTCGACTTGCCGCTGGGTCCAGGCCAATGGCGGCCGCTTCGCCGCCGGGACGCTGGTCCTGGGTGCGGGGAAGGCGCCGGGGGAACTGACCGCCACCAGCACCCGGCTCAGGTGGGGAATGGGAAAAAAATATCAAAATATTAAAATTAAATTAATATTTTAATATTAAAATATTAAAATTAAAATATTAAAATGTGAATATTTGAATGTCCAAATGGGAAGATTTGGATATCGGAATTTGAATATTTCGAGATCTAAATTTCAAGATTTCAAGGTGAATATTTAAGTTTCCTTTTATTTTGATCTTATTTTATTTAAATTGAAATATTCATATTCATATTAAATTTCAAGATTTTAAGATCTAAATTTAAATATTTCAAGATTAATATTTAAGTTTCCTTTTATTTTGATCTTCTTTTATTTATCTTATTTTATTTAAATTTAATATTCATATTCATATTAAATGTCAATCTATTTAATTTTAAATATTTAGAAATTAAAATTTAAATGTTTAAATATGGAGACTTAAATATTTAAATATTAAAATTAAAGTTTTCATATTAATATTAAATTTCAACATATTTAATTTTAGATATTTAGATATTAAAATGTAAATGTTTAAATATCAAGACTTAAATATTTTAATATTAATATTAATATTAAAATTTTCATATTCATATTAAATTTCAATATATTTAATTTTAGATATTTAGATATTAAAATTGAAATGTTTAAATATCAAGACTTAAATATTTAAATCTTAATATTAATATTAAAATTCAATATATTAAATTTTAAATATTTAGATATTAAAATTTAAATGTTTAAATAACAAGAATAAATTTTATTTTATTTAAAGTTAAATACTAACATTAAAATTTTAATATTTCAATATTTCAATTTTAATATTAACATTACATTTTAATCTATTTACTTTTGAATTCTGTATGTATTTGAATAAATGGAGTAATTTATAAATATTGAAATTTCAATATTGAAATATTGAAATTTTAATATGGAAATATGGAAATTTTAATTTTGAAATATTGAAATTTCAATATTGAAATATTGAAATATTAATATTGAAATATTGAAATGTTAATATTGAAATATTGAAATGTTAATATTGAAATATTGAAATTTTAATATTGAAATGTTAATATTGAAATTTAGAAATATTAATATTGAAATTTTGAATTATTAATATTGAAATTTTGAAATATTAATATTGAAATGTTGAAATTTTAATATTTCAATCCCAAAATTCAAATATTGAACATTTAAAGATTTAAAAATGGAATATTAGAATGTGAAAATTTACATATTTAAATAAATAATTTACATATTTATCAATTATTCCAATTAGGCAAGGGGCGTGCCGGTCCTACACCCAGGACTACCAGAAGGGCGCCGAAGCAGGAAGGTTCACCTTCCAGAATGCAAGTAAGTGCCATTATTATTATTATTATTATTATTATTATTATTATTATTTTATATTATTATATTATTATTTATTAATTTATTATTCAATTCTATTTTATTATTTGTTTTGTTTTTGTTTTTGACTTATTTTTCTTTCATTTCGCCTAAAGCCTAAAATCTCTTTTTCAATTAAATTCTCCTCCTCCTCCTCTCTACTCGTCCCGCACGTTCTTCCTCCATGAATCGAGCCTTTGAACCCTCAACCAAATCTCCTTTTGATATATCTAATTTTTCTCTCCTAGAAGAATATATTATTGTTGTTATTACTATTATTATTATTATTATTATTATTATTATTCTCTCTACTTGTCCCGCACATTGTTCCTCCATGAATCAAGTCTTTGTATATATCTAATTTTTCTCTCTCCCTCCTCCCTTTTATATATATATATATATATATATATAATCATCATCATCATCATCATATTATTATTATTATTATTATTATTATTATTATTAATTATTATTCTCTCTCCCTCTTATCTATAATATATTATTATTATTATTATCATCATCATCATCATATTATTATTATTTATTATTATTATTCTCTCTCCCTCTTATCTATAATATATTATTATTATTATTATTATTATTATCATCATCATCATCGTCATATTATTATTATTACTTATTAAATTTTCTCTCTCCACCATCATATTATTATTATTATTTATTAATTTTCTCTCTCCCTCTTATCTATATTATTATTATCATTAATTATTATTATTATTATTATTATTATTATTATTATTACTACTACTACTACTACTATTATTCTCATTTTTTATTATTATTATTATTATTATTATTATTATTATTATTACTATTATTAGGGTGGAAGGCGCACGGCGAGACCTACGTGGCGCACGCCGACCCCGACGTGTTCGCCATCTTGGTCACGGAGAAGAACAGCACCCACGGGCTCAGCACCAGCGCCAAGCTCTATGGTGCGTCCCAATCCGGGGGGAGGGAACTCCCCGCAACACCTGGAGGACTTGGAGAGGTCCCTTCCCTCTCTATGGTCCCCTGATAACTGCCTGGAGGACCTAGAGAGGCCCCCTTCCCTCTCTATGATCCATTCACTCTCTATGATCCCCTAGGAACCGCCTGGAGGACCTAGAGAGGCCCCTTCCCTCTCTATGATCCCTTCCCTCTCTATGATCCCCTAATAACCACCTGGAGAGGTCCCTTCCCTCTATATCATCCCTTCCCTCTCTATGGTCCCCGAAAAACCGCCTGGAGGACATAGAGAGCTCCCTTCCCTCTCTATGATCCCTTGCAAGGGGGTCAGGCTAGATGACCTGGAGAGGTCCCTTTCCTCTCTATGGTCCCCTGATAACTGCCTGGAGGACCTAGAGAGGCCCCTTCCCTCTCTATGATCCATTCACTCTCTATGATCCCCTAGGAACTGCCTGGAGGACCGAGAGAGGTCCCTTCCCTCTCTATCATCCCTTCCCTCTCTATGATTCCCTAATAACTGCCTGGAGGACCTGGACACGCCCCCTTCCCTCTCTATGATCCATAAAAACCGCCTGGAGGACCTAGAGTGGTCCATTCCCTCTCTATGATCCCTGGATGTCCTAGAGGTCCCTTCCCTCTCTATGATCCCTTGCAAGGGGGTCAGGCTGGAGGACCTGGAGGAGTCCCTTCCCTCTCTATGATCCCTTAAAACCACCTGGAGGACCTAGAGAGGCCCCATTCCCTCTCTATGATCTCCTAAGATCCGCCTGGAGAGGCACCTTCCCTCTCTATGATCCCCTAATACCCACCAGGAGGACCTAGAGAGGCCCCTTTCCTCTCTATGGTCCCCCAATACCCACCTGGAGGGGTCCCTTCCCTCTCTATGATCCCTGGATGTCCTAGAGGTCCCTTCCCTCTCTATGATCCCTTGCAAGGGGGTCAGGCTGGATGACCTGGAGGGGTCCCTTCCCTCTCTATGATCCCCTAATAACCACCTGGAGGACCTAGAGAGACCCCTTCCCTCTCTATGGTCCCCTAGTACTCACCTGGAGGGCCCCTTCCCTCTCTATGATCCCTTCCCTCTCTATGACCCACGTCTCTCCTTGCAGGAAGAACCCCGGCGCTGAGGGAGGACCTGGTGGAGGACTTCCGGCGGCGGGCCCTTGCACTGGGGATCCCAGAGGAGGCCATCTTTGTCCTGAGCAACCAAGGTGAGTTGTGGGTGGGGTGGGGTGGCGGGTTCGAATTTCACGGATTCGCACGTTTCAGACACCAATGTTGCACGTTCGCACGTTTCTGACACCCATGTTGCCCATTTGCACGTTTCTTACACCAATCTCGCACATTCCCTCGTTTCTGACACCAATGTTGCACACTTCTGACTCCGATGTCGCGCACTTCTGACCCCCTTGTTGCGCGCTTCTGACACCCATGTTACACACTTTGCTGAGCACTTCTGACCCTGATGTTGCACACTTCTGACACCCATGTTGCACACTTTGCGGGTTCAAATTCCTGCCTACTTCTGACACCCATGTTGCACACTTCTGACACCCATGTTGCACACTTTGCGGGTTCAAATTGCTGCCTACTTCTGACACCCATGTTGCACACTTCTGACACCCATGTTGCACACTTTGCGGGTTCAAATTGCTGCCTACTTCTGACACCCATGTTGCACACTTCTGACACCCATGTTGCACACTTTGCGGGTTCAAATTCCTGCCTACTTCTGACACCCATGTTGCACACTTCTGACACCCATGTTGCACACTTTGCGGGTTCAAATTCCTGCCTACTTCTGACACCCATGTTGCACACTTCTGACACCCATGTTGCACACTTTGCGGGTTCAAATTCCTGCCTACTTCTGACACCCAGGTTGCACACTTCTGACACCCATGTTGCACACTTTGCGGGTTCAAATTCCTGCCTACTTCTGACACCCATGTTGCACACTTCTGACACCCATGTTGCACACTTTACGGGTTCAAATTCCTGCCTACTTCTGACACCCAGGTTGCACACTTCTGACACCCATGTTGCACACTTTGCGGGTTCAAATTCCTGCCTACTTCTGACACCCATGTTGCACACTTCTGACACCCATGTTGCACACTTCTGACACCCATGTTACACACTTTGCTGAGCACTTCTGACCCTGATGTTGCACACTTCTGACACCCATGTTGCACACTTCTGACACCCATGTTGCACCTCCGAACACGGGTTCAAATCCCTTCTCTCTTCCCACAGGGGAGTGCGTCCCGCCCAAGGCCGAAGATGCGCCCCAGGTAAGTGACCCCCCAAGGGGACCCCCGTTGCACCCTGGGACCTCCGTTCCCCCACTTCTGACACCCATGTTGCACGTTCCCACGTTTCAACCTCGCACCCGCGCTCTTTTCCAGGAGAGGGTGCGCAGGACCCCCTTGTTTGAGGAGGAAGGCTCGGCCGACGGATTCGCACCCGCGTTCCCGGACGTCAAGGAAGGTGGGTTTGGCACGCTACCTTTCACCATGCAGGGAGTTCCCCAGATTTCGCACGCTACTCCGTCAGATTTCGCACGCTACTTTTCACGAGGCAGGGAGTTCCCCAGATTTCACATTGTACTTAGGCAGGGAGTTCCACAGATTTCGCACGCTACCTTTCACCATGCAGGGAGTTCCCCAGATTTCGCACGCTCCTTAGTCAGATTTCGCACGCTACTCCGTCAGATTTCGCACGCTCCTTACTCAGATTTCGCACGCTCCTTACTCAGATTTCGCACGCTCCTTACTCAGATTTCGCACGCTCCTTAGTCAGATTTCGCACGTTCCTTACTCAGATTTCGCACGCTACCTAGTCAGATTTCGCACGCTACTTTTCACGAGGCTGGAAGTTCCCCCGATTCCCACTTCCTCTTCCTCTCCAGCCGACTGCCAGCTGCCCCGGGACGCCGGCCCCTGCCTGGGCGCCGAGTTGCGCTTCTTCTACAACGCCAGCGCACGGTCGTGCCAGAGCTTCCTCTACGGCGGTTGCCTGGGCAACGCCAACCGCTTCCTGTCCGAACGGGCCTGTCTGCAGACGTGCCGGACCGAAGGTGAGACGCTCTAGGAAGCTTTGAAGCACTTCCTCTTCCTGCGGAGCCTCTCTAGGAAGGTCTCCCCAACTTCCTCTGGCTCCCACTTCCTCCCCCCCCGGAGCCTCTCTAGGACTATCCCACTTCCTCCCGGAGCCTCTCTAGGAAGGTCTCCCCAACTTCCTCTGGCTCCCACTTCCTCTTCCTCCGGCTCCCACCCTCCAGCTCCCACTTCCTCTGGCTCCCACCCTCCAGCTCCCACTTCCTCTTCCTCCCACTTCCTCTTCCTCCAGCTCCCACTTCCTCCATCCCCCACTTCCTCTTCCTCCGCCTCCCACTTCCTCTGTCTCCCACTTCCTCTTCCTCTGGCTCCCACTTGCTCTGGCTCCCACTTCCTCTTCCTCCAGCTCCCCCTTCCTCCATCCTCCACTTCCTCTTCCTTCGGCTCCCACTTCCTCTTCCTCCGGCTCCCACTTCCTCTGGCTCCCACTTCCTCTTCCTCCAGCTCCCACTTCCTCCAGCTCCCACTTCCTCTTCCTCCAGCTCCCACTTCCTCCACCCCCACTTCCTCTTCCTTTGTCTCCCACTTCCTCTTCCTCCAGCTCCCACTTCCTCTGTCTCCTACTTCCTCTTCCTCCAGCTCCCACTTCATCCCCCACTTCCTCTTCCTCCGGCTCCCACTTCCTCCGGCCCCCACTTCCTGTGGAGCCTCTCTAGGAATGCCCACTGAAGCTCTCCTCTCTCCCAGCCGCCTGCCCATGAAAATTTCTCTTCCTCCGGCTCCCACTTCCTTCCCCCGGCTCCCACTTCCTCTAGCTCCCACTTCCTCTAGCTCCCACTTCCTCTTCCCCCGGCTCCCACTTCCTCTTCCTCCGGCTCCCCCTTCCTATTCCCCCCCAAGCCTCTCTAGGAATGTCTCCCCAACTTCCTCTTCCTCCGGCCCCCACTTCCTGTGGAGCCTCTCTAGGAACGCCCACTGAAGCTCTCCTCTGACCCAGCCGCCTGCCGCCTGCCCATCAAAATTTCTCTTCCTCCACCTCCCACTTCCCCTTCCTGTGGAGCCTTTCTAGGAATCTCCACTGAAGCTCTCCTCTCCCCCAGCCGCCTGCCCATCAAAATTTCTCTTCCTCCACCTCCCACTTCCCCTTCCTGTGGAGCCTCTCTAGGAATCTCCACTGAAGCTCTCCTCTCCCCCAGCCGCCTGCCAATCACTCTCATGGGGGGAGAGGTTCTTCTCCCTCTTCCTCTCCCTCCGGCTCCCACTTCCTCTGGCTCCCACTTCCCCTTCCTGTCGAGCCTCTCTAGGAAGGTCGACTGAAGCTCTCCTCTCCCCCAGCCGCCTGCCGCCTGCCCATCACCCCCGGAGCCCCCTGTCCGTCAACCTTCTGGGCCTTTGACGCCTCGCGCGGCGCCTGCCTCACTTTCCAGGGCTGCGGGGCCAACGCCAACAGACTGTGTCTCCCACTTCCTCTTCTCCTCCCACTTCCTCTTCCCCCAACTTCCTCTCCCTCCACTTCCCATTTCCTCTGGAGCCTCTCTACTTCTCCCCAACTTCCTCTTCCTCCGGCTTCCACTTCCTCTGGAGCCTCTCTACTTCTCCCCAACTTCCTCTCCCCAACTTTCTCCCCAGCTTCCTCTTCCTCCAGCTCCCACTGGAGCTTCCTCTTCCCCCCAGAACCTCTCTAGGAATGTCTCCCCAACTTCCTCTTCCTCCGGCTCCCACTTCCTCTTCCTCCACCTCCCACTTCCTTTTCCTCCACCTCCCACTTCCTCTTCCTCCACCTCCCACTTCCTCCGGCTCCCACTTCCTCTTCCCCCCACTTCCCCTTCCTGTGTAGCCTCTCTAGGAATGCCCACTGAAGCTCTCCTCTCCCCCAGCTGCCTGCCGCCTGCCCATTACCCCCGGAGCGCCCTGTCCGTCAAAATTTCTCTTCCTCCGGCTCCCACTTCCTCTTCCTCCGGCTCCCACTTCCTCTCTAGGAACCTCTCCCCAATTTCATTCTCCTCCTGCTCCCACTTCCTCTTCCCCCGGCTCCCCCTTCCTCTTCCTCTGGCTCCCCCTTCCTCTTCCTCCTGGAGCCTCTCTAGGAACCTCTCCCCAACTTCCTCCAGCTCCCCCTTCCTCTCCAGGAATGTCTCCCCAACTTCCTCTTCCTCCGGCTCCCACTTCCTGTGGAGCCTCTCTAGGCACCTCTCCCTCACCTCCGCTCCTCTCCCCCAGCCGCCTGCCGCCTGCCCATCACCCCCGGAGCCCCCTGTCCGTCAACCTTCTGGGCCTTTGACTCCGCCCAGGGCGCCTGCGTCACTTTCCGGGGCTGCGGGGGCAACGCCAACAAGTTCTACCTGGAGAAGGAGTGCAAGGAGTACTGCGGGGTCCTGGCCGAAGGTACCATTCATGATTAGTCACTATTATTCACTATTATTAATTACTATTATTATTATTATTAATATGGAGATTATTGGGGAGAAGGTTCTAGTCCTCCTCTCCCACGCCAACAAGTTCTACCTGGAGAAGGAGTGCAAGGAGTACTGCGGGGTCCTGGCCGAAGGTACCATTCATGATTAGTCACTATTATTCACTATTATTAATTACTATTATTATTATTATTAATATGGAGATTATTGGGGAGAAGGTTCTAGTCCTCCTCTCCCACGCCAACAAGTTCTACCTGGAGAAGGAGTGCAAGGAGTACTGCGGGGTCCTGGCCGAAGGTACCATTAATGATTAGTCACTATTATTCACTATTATTATTAATTACTATTATTATTATTATTAATATGAAGATTATTGGGGAGAAGGTTCTAGTCCTCCTCTCCCACGCCAACAAGTTCTACCTGGAGTACTGCGGGGTCCTGGCCGAAGGTACCATGAATGATTAGTCACTATTATTCACTATTATTATTAATTACTATTATTATTATTATTAATATGAAGATTATTGGGGAGAAGGTTCTAGTCCTCCTCTCCCACGCCAACAAGTTCTACCTGGAGAAGGAGTGCAAGGAGTACTGCGGGGTCCTGGCCGAAGGTACCATTAATGATTAGTCACTATTATTCACTATTATTAATTACTATTATTATTATTATTAATATGGAGATTATTGGGGAGAAGGTTCTAGTCCTCCTCTCCCACGCCAACAAGTTCTACCTGGAGAAGGAGTGCAAGGAGTACTGCGGGGTCCTGGCCGAAGGTACCATTAATGATTAGTCACTATTATTCACTATTATTAATTACTATTATTATTATTATTATATTATTAATATGAAGATTATTGGGGAGAAGGTTCTAGTCCTCCTCTCCCACGCCAACAAGTTCTACCTGGAGAAGGAGTGCAAGGAGTACTGCGGGGTCCTGGCCGAAGGTACCATGAATGATTAGTCACTATTATTCACTATTATTAATTACTATTATTATTATTATTATTAATATGAAGATTATTGGGGAGAAGGTTCTAGTCCTCCTCTCCCACGCCAACAAGTTCTACCTAGAGTACTGCGGGGTCCTGGCCGAAGGTGGGGTTCGTTATTAGTCACTATTATTCACTATTATTCACTATTTATTATTTATTATTATTTATTATTATTATTATTTGCATTACTATTACTATTATCATTATCATTATCATTATTTATTATTATTATTTGCATTATTATTATTATTTGCATTACCATTACTATTATTATCATTATTTACTATTATTATCTGCATTATTATTATTACTATTATCATTATTTATTATTATTATTTGCATTACTATTGCTATCATTATCATTATTTATTATTATTATTTGCATTATTATTATTATTTGCATTACTATTACTATTATCATTATTTACTATTATTATCTGCATTATTATTATTATTACTATTACTATTATCATTTATTATTATTATTATTATTATTATTAGCATTACTATTACTATTATCATTTATTATTATTATTATTATTATTATCATTATTATTATCATTTGCATTATTATTACTATTATTATTATTATTATTAGCATTACTATTATCATTATCATTTATTACTATTATTATTATTATTATTATTATTATTTACATTATTATCATTTGCATTATTATTACTATTATCATTATCATTATTATTTGCATTATTATTACTATTATTATTATTTGCATTATTACTATTACTTATACTATTATCATTATCAATTATTATTAGCATTATTATTGTTGTTGTTGTTTAAAATTATTATTATTATTATTATTATTATATATATAACTACGATGATTATTATTATTATTATTATTATTATTATTATTATATTCAGACTGCATCAAGAGCCACATGGCTACCTACTTGAATCTATTACTATTATTATTAGTAATAATATTATAGTATATCATATCATATTATTATTATTAGTATCATTACGATCATTATCATTATAATTCTTATTATTTATATCATTATGATCATTTTCATTTTCATTATTATTATACTTAGACTGCGTCAAGAACCACACGGCTACCTAATTGAATATATTACTAATAATAATAATAATAATAATAATAATGGTATATCATATCTTCTTCTTCTTCTTCTTCTTCTTCTTCTTATTATTATTATTATTAGTAATGCTATTCATATCATTAGTAATATTATTAATACTAATCTGCCACTCATTAATCAAGGTCTCCTCTCCTCGTTAGGCGACGACGACTTCCTGCGTCTGACGGCGCCCTGAGGTCATCCGGCGTCAATCAAACCCGCAACCTGTCAATCAACCAATAAAGGCGGGCTCTTCATGATCAAAGCGGAGCGTTCCATTTCTTTAAAGGGGGGTTTTCTTAATTATAAAAACGGAGCATTCCATTTAATTAAAGGGGGGCTCTTAATTATCTTAACGGATCATTCCATTTATTTATAGGGGGATTTTCTTAATTATAAAAACGGAGCGTTCCATTTATTTAAAGGGGGATTTTCTTAATTATAAAAACGGAGCATTCCATTTATTTAAAGGGGGATTTTCTTAATTATAAAAACGGAGCATTCCATTTATTTAAAGGGGGATTTTCTTAATTATATGAATGGATCATTCCATTTATTTAAAGGGGGACTCTTAATTATCTAAACGGATCGTTCCATTTCTTCCAAAAGGGGGGTTTAATTATCTAAACGGATCATTCCATTTATTTCTAGGGGGATTTTATTAATTTTCAAAATGGAGCATTCCATTTATTTAAAGGGTGGGGCTTAATTATCTAAATGGATCATTCCATTTATTTAAAGGGGGATTTTCTTAATTATAAAAACAGAGCATTCCATTTATTTAAAGGGGGGATTTCTTAATTATCTAACTGGATCGTTCCAATTCTCCCAAAAGGGGGGGTTAATTATCAAAACGGAGCGTTCCATTTCTTCAAAGGGGGGTTTCTTAATTATCTAAACGGAGCGTTCCAAATATTCAAAGGGGGGTTTAATTATCAAAATGGATCATTCCATTTATTTAAACGGGTTTTATCTTAAGTATCAAAACAGAGCGTTCCATTTATTTAAAGGGGGGCGCTTAATTATCTAAACGGATCATTCCATTTAAGGGGGCTCTTAATTATCTAAACGGATCATTCCATTTATTTAAAGGGGGGGCGCTTAATTATCTAAACTGATCATTCCATTTATTTATAGGGGGATTTTCTTAATTATAAAAACGGATCGTTCCATTTCTTCCAAAAGGGGGGTTTAATTTTCAAAACGGAGCGTTCCATTTCTTCAAAGGGGGGTTTCTGATTATCTAAATGGATCATTCCATATATTTAAAGGGGGGATTTCTTAATTATCTAACTGGATCGTTCCAATTCTTCCAAAAGGGGGGTTTAATTATCTAAACGGATCATTCAATTTATTTATAGGGGGATTTTCTTAATTATAAAAATGGAGCATTCCATTTATGTAAAGGGGGGGCTCTTAATTATCTAAACGGATCGTTCCATTTCTTCCAAAAGGGGGGTTTAATTATCTAAACGGATCATTCCATTTTTTTATAGGGGGATTTTCTTAATTTTCAAAATGGATCATTCCATTTATTTAAAGGGTGGGGCTTAATTATCTAAACGGATCATTCCATTTATTTATAGGGGGATTTTCTTAATTATCTAAACGGATCATTCCATTTATTTAAAGGGGGCTTCTTAATTATATGAATGGATCATTCCATTTATTTAAACGGGTTTTTTCTTAATTATCAAAACGGATCATTCCATTTATTTAAACGGGTTTTTTCTTAATCATCTAAACGGATCATTCCATTTATTTATAGGGGGATTTTCTTAATTATAAAAACGGAGCATTCCATTTATTTAAAGGGGGGGCTCTTAATTATCTAAACGGATCATTCCATTTCTTCCAAAAGGGGGGTTTAATTATCTAAACGGATCATTCCATTTATTTATAGGGGGATTTTCTTAATTATCTAAACGGAGCATTCCATTTATTTATAGGGGGATTTTCTTAATTATAAAAACGGAGCATTCCATTTAAGGGGGGCTCTTAATGATCTAAACGGATCGTTCCATTTCTCCCCAAAGGGGTGTGTGTGTCTCCTCTTCAAATCTCCGCCTTCCAGAACTCGAACCCAGAACCCGGCCGGCCAATCGGACGTCTGGAATCGCTGCCCCCCCGCCCTTATCAAAAAGCGGACCGTTCCAGGATGATTGACAGCCATCTATCCCCAAACCCCCCAACCCAGAAAAGACACGGCACAAAATCTCTATCAAAATAACTATATTTCATCTTTTCAAGGGGGGGAAACGGGACGTTCCATTCGGTGGAAAACGGGGTGGGGTGGGGTGTGTGAATTTTTTTTGGGGGGGGTCAAAGGGAGACGAGCAGCAATTAATTGACAGTTCAATTAATATATATATATATATTATTATTAATATATATATTATTAATATATATACTATTAATATATATATATTAATATATATATATATATATAAAACACACAAACACCCCCATTTGAAGACGTTAAATGGTATTTTCCACACACACCCCAAAAAAACAAAGAGTTTCTGCCCCATAAAATGGCGGCAAATGTCAGAATTTGGGGGGCAAATCTTAGAATTGGGGGGTAAATCTCAGAATTTGGGGGGAAATGTCAGAATTTGCTGGGAAATGTCAGAATTTGGAGGGAAATCTCAGAATTTGGAGGGGAAATCGCAGAATTTGGGCGGCAAATCTCAGAATTTGGGCGGCAAATCTCAGAATTTGGGCGGCAAATCTCAGAATTTGCTGGGAAATCTCAGAATTTGGGCGGCAAATCTCAGAATTTGGGCGGCAAATCTCAGAATTTGCTGGGAAATCTCAGAATTTGCGGGGGAAATCTCGGAATCGGGGGCAAACACTGCGCAGCAAGAGAGGTAGATGGCAAGAGTCCGAAAAAGGGGCCCTCCGGCGATCATCCAGTCCAACCCGCTTTTCCGTGGCGGCGGCGGGTTCGAGTCGCAGGCTTCCAACAGGCGCATGAAGTCTTCAGTAGTGGTAGCGGGTTCAAGTCCTGGTGGTGGGTTCAAGCTGTGCGCTTCCACGGGGCGCCAAAGTCCTCAGCGGTCATCCAGCCCAACCCGCTTTAAGTCCTGGTCCTGGGTTCGAGTTGCACGCTCCCAACAGGCCCATTCAGTCCTCTGCAATGCTGGGGTGCTGGGTTCGAGTGATGTGCTTCCACGGGCGATCAAGTCCTTGGCCGTGGGTTCGAGTGCTGCGCTTCCAACATGCACCTCAAGTCCTTGGCCGTGGGTTCGAGTGATGCGCTTCCAACATGCACCCTCAAGTCCTGGCCATGGGTTCGAGTGCTGCGCTTCCAACGGGCGCATCAAGTCCTTGGCCGTGGGTCGAGTGCTGCGCTTCCAACATGCACCTCAAGTCCTGGCCATGGGTTTCGAGTGATGCGCTTCCAACATGCACCTCAAGTCCTGGCCGTGGGTTCGAGTGATGCGCTTCCAACGGGCGCATCAAGTCCTTGGCCGTGGGGTTCGAGTGCTGCGCTTCCAACATGCACCTCAAGTCCTGGCCATGGGTTCGAGTGCTGCGCTTCCAACATGCA